AAAAAAAGCTTGATGACCAAGTTCAACTTCTCACCACTGCAGCTGAAGCCCAAAAGGTAAAAACTGCAATTGTTGCCAATTTTTCTTCCTAGAGGAAGAAAAATTCCATTCTCGATATCAGAATCCCATAATGATATGCCTGCTGTCCCATTTATGACTGACAGAGGCTCCTGTCAGAAATCATGCCACTGCAGGAGAGGAGATCACTCCACATTTTCCCAGCTCCTGAAAGCAGAGTGTTACAGCTAGGGTAGCCCAAGCTTAGAGGATCACTCTTCACATAAGGTAATGACCATGCGCTGAAAGAACTAAGCAGTATTGGCATCATAGGGAGACTTAAGTCTCCCCATGATGTTAGTACTGCTTGTTTTTTAAAACTCTGTGTGTACTGGCCTTAAAGTCATTACAGGCAATCAGAAAATCATACAAAAAAAAAAATACCACTTTCAAAGCGATTGTAAGTACACAGCTTTTGTCTAAAATTATTTGAAGGGACAAGTATGAAGATTTTTTACATATGATTTTCATTTAAGCAGTATAGTTTTTGTCCACAAATACAGTACTTAACTTTAGAATTTTCTATTCTGTCAAACAAGAATTTTTGTAACTTTCCTGTCACTTTCAATAGTTTGTTTAGGCCAAAGCTGGCCCAAACAAAGTATTCCCATTACTAAAGTATTAGGCTTTACACACTGTATCATACTATAGTAGCATCAGCTACATACACTATGCAGCACTGTTACAGCAGCAGTATAAGCGACGTCCCATACACTGCAGGGACCAAGTCAAGTTGACTGCTTCTCAGCCAGAGGACTCCTTGTATTTTTGTCAATGCATACAAGGCTTCCTCTGATTGGTTGAGGTGGAGACAATCATGTAACGTCATTATTGCCACCCTGAGCATATCAAAGGAAGCCCATTCTAAAAAATATACATGCCTTTTTGACAAACTGAAATCCTTAGGCCTCCTTCACACTGCTGATTAGATGCATTCTTTTGATTCCAGTGACAGAGTCAGGCAAATAGCTTGGATATCCGCAAGTAAATACTCAATATGCGAATAGTGGCAGTGGCTGCCAGCTTTCATTAGTGTATTTAGGCTGAGCGGCTGCTGCTATTCACATGACCCAGTCATTACAGCCACAAAAATGTTCTACTGGAATTCAGAGAATGCACCTAACCAACCCTGTGAAGAAAGCCTTAGTTGCCCTCTTGAATGCCGTATTTTTGATATACTGCGCAAAACAATACAATTCATTGTAATATGTCACAACCACTTTTCTTCCAAACAAGTCAATGGCAATGTAAACAAGCCATCTCAAATGTATAAAGAAAAGCATACCTGCCTATCCAAGTTCTGAGGCGCATGTTCTTACCTCATTACGTAGCTTCGTCCCCTATATTGTATAGCGGTTTAACTTTTGAAGTGAAGTTACAGGCTAGCTCTCCCCACACAGTGCTCTGGCTTGGCAATTGTATTGCATTGTGGGAAGTCATACATTTATGTCTCATACCCAGAAATACCAGTTAGGCCTCATATACACTGGACGTTTTCCTAACTCTCCTAGAAGTAGCATTTTGGCAGACAAAATGCCTGACGCTTGTAAAAGTGTTTAGTGCATCAAGCATTTGGGTGTTTTCATATCACTGGCCAGAATAAATAAATTATTCGGGCCATCAAAATGAATTAATGCTCAAGTGCTGAACATGCCTAGCGTTCACATGTTTACAAGCATCAAGGTTGTTTTTTTTTTTTTTTTTTGCCAAAACTCTGCTGCTCCTATACGCACTGCCAATTTTTTTTACCTGCCTCTAAAAGATTATAAGTGCATGGACACAAATGCTAACGTGGAGACGTTTAGAGGCAGGGGAAAAAAAGGAGCATCATTAAAAGTCCTTACTTATAACTACACTGGTGTGTAGGTATACAGTGCCATGCTTAGTGTGTGTGGAGGGGGTATTTTGTTTTAAAACTGCAAAGGTGGAACCCAACTTTAGAGGCATTCTTTCTGTAACCAAGTATCCCAAAAGTGTTTGTCACTTTCTGATAATGCTGACCCAACCCCTGAATGTTTGCATTGCTCGGTAAGGTCACCATCAGAGTTATGATCCAAGAGTAACGTACAGTCGCCAGGAACATTGTTAGTACAGCAACCCAGAATGTGGGCACAAAAGCTATGCGTGAATGAGTTTAAAGTTATGTATAGGCTTCTTTTGGGAGCTTACATTATGGTACTGCTTATTGTCAAGTACCATTTACATAGTGAAAGGTACAGTTTTAGTTATCTACAGCGTCACACTTTGGAAAATGCCTTTAGTTTAAGTAGTACCTGAAATCCACAAAAGGAATGTGTCAAGAAGAAATATGGGAACTGCAACTGTTTTTTTGAAGATGCAAAAAGTTGTGAAGCGCATCTTGTAATTTGAGAGGATAATACTTGCTTTACTACATCGACAGGAACAGAGTGGAGCAACCTTTTCAGAAGAGAATTCTTTTACTTTTGCTGGAAAACTACAGATTTATCCACAGCACGTTAGCAAAATGTGCATATATGCATGGAGGGACACATTTTTTTTAGATCATGCCAAGCAGGGAATTCCTATTTACCTTACCTGCTGCCCTGCCATATTTAAAGTGATGTACACACTATAGAATGGAAAATTAGGGAAAAGCGTGGTTTGTAAATTACATTTCTTTTTGGGTTATGGACTGCAGCTATAAGCTAGTGCTGTAGCTGCTATTTATTCTGTAAACTCCTCAGCCTAATTTCCTCAAGTTTTAGAGAAGATGCAGAAAGAATGGACATTTCAAAGAAAATACAGATAACCAGGATTAGGACTTTGTTCTAACAGAGCAGAGGCTTGGGTAAGATCAGATGAATACATGAGACTTCAGTTTGTTGAATTGTTTGGAAACAAAGAAAAAAAAAAGTATTTCAGAGGAACAGCTGGCTGAGAGGATAGTGGTTTTAGTCAGTCATTATCTTTAAAGAATACAGCATCAGAAAGTTGTTTCCAGTGCAACATTGGGCCATTTATTGTGAGATTTTGAGCAACAACCTCCTTCCCTCAGTCAGAGCATTGAAGATGATTTGTGGCTGGGTCTTCCAACATGACAACGACCTGAAGCACACAGCCAGGATAACCAAGGAGTGGCTCCGTAAGAAGCATATCAAGGTTCTGGAGTGGCCTAGCCAGTCTCCACACCTAAATCCAATAGAACATCTTTGGAGGGAGCTGAAACTCTGTGTTGCTCAGAGACAGCACCGAAACCTGACAGATCTAGAGATCTGTGTGGAGGAGTGGGCCAAAATCCCTGTTGCAATGTGTGCAAACCTGGTCAAGAACTACAGGAAACGTTTGACCTCTGTAATTGCAAACAAAGGCTTCTGTACCAAATATTAACACTGATTTTCTCAGGTGTTCAAATACTTATGTTCAGCAGTGCAAGACAAATACATTCTTTAAAAATCATACAATGTGATTTCCTGAAATTTTTTTAAAATTCTGTCTCTTAGAGTGGGAATGCACCTACAATGTGAATTTCAGACCCTCCATGATTTCTATGTGGGAGAACTTGCAAAACCGAAGGGTGTTCACTGTATCTTGAAGGTGTGGTACACTTTCAGAAAGTGCATCAAACCCACAGGGTATAACAGAAGGCTATGGTCCAGTGCAGCTAATCCATAGGAAAGCCAGTGTGATAGAAGCCTAATAACCCTTTTTTTAAAAGTGCTAATACGCCCATTGTAAAACTGATGTTTAACCACTTGCCTACCGGGCGCTTTCACCCCCTTACTGCCACGTCAATTTTCAGCTTTCAGTGCTGTCATACTTTGACAATTGCGCGGTCATGCAACACTATACCCAAATGAAATTTTAATAGAGCTTTCTTTTAGTGGTATTTAGTCACCATTGGGGTTTTTATTTTTTGCTAAACAAACACAAAAATAAATAAAATAGCAGTTTCTGTTACAGAAACAATTGAGTACTGACGTGATACTTTTTTTTATTTGCACTAACATACAATTTTGAGTCTCTGTTAAAAGTTTTGTAAATAAGGGAATTTATTCCTTCATTGATGTGCTCTGATGAGGCTGCACTGACAGGCATCACTGATAGCCAGCACAGATTAGCATTGATGGGCACTATTGGGGCTACACTGCTCATCAGGGCACTGATGATCAGTGTTGATGTATCCATAAGAAATGCCGCTTACCAGCTCTCCTCTCCTCAAGCACTGTCAGCGTGAGGAGATGACTGCCGACAACTGGCATTTCCGGTTTACATGTGATCAGCTGTGATTGGCCCCCTACTTTGACACGTGATTAGCTGTCTTCCAAGAACACAGCAATCACATTTCGCCCCAGGGGGCTCGCAAGGGGTGGTTCTGGGAGGACGTCCATGGCCGCCATTCCAGAACTAGCCGACCACTCTATAGCAGTCTTTTGGCTATAGCGCAGTTAGGAAGAAGTTAATGAACAAATAAAAGCTTTTTCTCTTCCAGCTTCACTAGGCTTCTAGAAAGGTCCCAGGTGAAGTATACTTTAGTATAACTCCGCTAAAAAGACAGGAACTGGAGCTACAGAGGAAATACCAGCTTATGCACCTTCTGTTTTGCGTCCGTCGTTGCTTGCCTCCTCCACTGCTGGTACCAGCTCCATACATGCTGATGCTCTGGGATGGTCAACCCGCCATCCTAGAGCATGAGGTTGCGGGCCACATCAGAGAGCAGGTTGAGCACCCCTGTTTTACGCAGTCTTCTGATTACTGGCAACCCAAAATTTTACTATGAAACAAAAGAAAGTTCTTTTAAACTGCACATGAACCAAAATGGATTTGTTGGAGTATAAGATATACCCGATGCGTAAGGATAAAAAAAAATGAAGATGGTACCATCTAGAACACGCTGTGTAACAAAAGTTTTCTTTTTTTTTAATTAAAATTTGTATATCAATACCATAAAACAAATTCTATATAGTCCATTTCCACCTGGATGATCATCCATACATGCTGTTTGAGAACTCTGAAAAGACATGCTTCCTCTGTGCGGCAGTCAAAAATTCACAGGCTTCTAGTAAGTTGGCTACAATTAAAGTTTGTTGGACAGTTTTAGCTTTAACCCATATTCTTCCATTCATTCCAATGACCATTTCAAATGGAAATACATTTATCAGTTCCTGGACAATGTCATTCTGGGGTCTTAAAAGCCTAAAAGTAGAATAGAAAACAATGTAAGTACCATTTCATTTTGGCCATGTATTAAAGTACACCTGTCATGACAGCAATGTGGGGACTACTGGACATAAGGGGAACATGAGAAAGGCTCAGGCTATGCTGGACTACAAAGTGGACAAGGCAAAAGTTAGTAACCACATGCCTTTTCAACATAAACCAATGTATAAATATTACAGGTGAAACTCGAAAAATTTGAATATCATGCAAAAGTTAATTTATTTCAGTAATGCAACTTATAAGGTGAAACTAATATATGAGATAGACTCATTACATGCAAAGCAAGATAGTTCAAGCCCTGATTTGTCATAATTGTGATGATTATGGTTTACAGTTCATGAAAACCCCAAATCTACAATCTCAGAAAATTAGAATATTGTGAAAAGGTGCAATATTCTAGGCTCAAAGTGTCCCACTCTAATCAGCTAATTAAGCCATAACACCTGCAAAGGGTTCCTGAACCTTAAATGGTCTCTCAGTCTGGTTCAGTAGGAATCACAATCATGGGAAAGACTGCTGACCTGACATTGTGCAGAAAACCATCATTGACACCCTCCATAAGGAGGGAAAGCCTCAAAAGGTAATTGCAAAAGAAGTTGGATGTTCCCAAAGTGCTGTATCAAAGTACATTAATAGAAAGTTATGTGGAAGGGAAAGGTGTGGAAGAAAAAGGTGCACAAGCAGCAGGGATGACCGCAGCCTGGAGAGGATTGTCAGGAAAAGGCCATTCAAAAGTGCTGGGGACTTTCACAAGGAGTGGACTGAGGCTGGAGTTAGTGCATCAAGAGCCACCACACACAGATGGATCCTGGACATGGGCTTCAAATGTCGTATTCCTCTTGTCAAGCCGCTCCTGAACAACAAAATGTCAGAAGCGTCTTACCTGGGCTAAAGTAAAACAGACCTGGTCTGTTGCTCAGTGGTCCAAAGTCCTCTTTTCTGATGAGAGCAACTTTTGCATCTCATTTGGAACCAAGGACACAGAGTATTGAGGAAGAATGGAGAGGCACACACTGCAAGATGCTTGAAGTCCAGTGTGAAGTTTCCACAGTCTGTTGATTTGGGGAGCCATGTCATCTGCTGGTGTTGGTCCCACTGTGCTTCATTAAGTCCAGGGTCAACGCAGCCGTCTACCAGGAGATTTTGGAGCACTTCATGCTTCCTTCCACAGACGAGCTTTATGGGGATGTTAACTTCAATTTTCCAGCAGGTCTTGGCACCTGCCCACACTGCCAAAAGCACCAAAACCTAGTTCAATGACCGTGGGATTACTGTGCTTGATTGGCCAGCAAACTTGCCTGACCTGAACCCCATAGAGAATCTATGGGGCATTGCCAAGAGAAAGATGAGAGACATGAGACCAAACAATGCGGAAGAGCTGAAGGACACTATTGAAGCATCCTGGTCTTCCATAACATCTCAGCAGTGCCACAAACTGATAGCTTCCATGCCATGCCGCATTGAGGCAGTAATTGCTGCAAAAGGGGCCCAAACCAAGTACTGAGTACATATGCATGCTTATACTTTTCAGAGGTCCGATATTGTTCTATGTACAATCCTTGTTATATTGATTGCATGTAATATTCTAATTTTCTGAGATTGTGGATTTGGGGTTTTCATGAGCTGTAAGCCATAATCATCACAATTATGACAAATCACGGCTTGAACTATCTTGCTTTGCATGTAATGAGTCTATCTCATATATTAGTTTCACCTTTTAAGTTACATTACTGAAATAAATGAACTTTTGCATGATATTCTAATTTTTTGAGTTTCACCTGTAGGATTCAGCCACAGAAAGTAAAATGTGATAAAAACATTACTCACCCACTGCACTTCTGTTAAAACTCAAAGGCCCCTTTTATATATTAGAATTACTTCAAAATGAGCTCATTTATTCATGACAGAGTTAAAACAATTTCTTACTTTCTTACTAGTCCTAAGGATACTTTAAACATAAGGCCATCTTGTCCAATGATACCCATCCCATTTGCTTTTCCATAGCTGTCGATGCATGCCAACTCTGGTTCCATGTCTTTATTGGCCACAATAACCTGTCCATAAACGAGGTCTCCAACCTTCCAAAACAAGTATAAAACAAGGTTAGATTTACATTCTGGAGGTATGAAAACATTCTACGGCAGTTATGCATTGTGTAGTGAAGCAACCAAAAAAAAAGCAGATCATAATGTAATTTATATGGTGGTAAACATTAACCAATCCAACCATCTAACTATAAGTCAATAAAAGTCCATGCTCCTGGCTGTAAGCATGCCGTTCTGTAAACAGAGTTGGTAAAAGGATTCTCAATGTTTTGTGCCCATAAAAAGACAAGGTTTCGGCAATTGGCATAGTAGTACCTTTTGAGATCAAGGTCTCCACTCCAAACTATTTATTTGCATTGGTCCAGAGTAGTCAGGACTAATGCTATCACTTTGGCCACAAATTGAACAAAATATGTCCAAATACATCAACTGCCAAGCAAGCTACACCAATACAGGAAAAAACACTCATATTTTTGGGGCAATGCTTTTTGAACTTCTAATGTAATAAGAAGTAGGCTGCAGTTGTGTGCTCAGCCTACTGCAAGAATGCAAGCACAGCTTTCCCCTCTTTTCCCAACATGTACAGGGCCTAAAAATTACAATGTTTCTGAAAATACATTGCTGGAAGTGTCCCTATTAGTAAAATCACATAAGTACACCTGTCATTTGTATGAAAATCCCTGGTAAAGTGGAGATCTAAAAACACAAAAAATGTGAGTAGTTTGCGATTGTCTCTTTTCTGTCCTGTATATGGTATGCCAGAATTTTTAATCCATATGAAGGTATTGTTGCAGGAGCACACAATAGGCAAGCAAAACTTACCTTTACATTGGGTCTGTTTTTTTTTTAGTTGCACCTTCAAAGGACAAGTATGATAATGAAGCTTGATCACTTCCTCCAATGTCAACTTTAAAAATATCTCCAGCCTTGGTGGTGACAATTCCAATCACAGGGTCCCCTTTAACAGGCACATACTATATTCGGAAAAAATAACCATAAGTGATCACAAAAGAGAACATTTTTTTTTTTATAAACTTTTATTACACATATGCTTCAGGTGCTACAGTGCACCCAACACCCATCTGAATTTCACAGCACTTGACAGGGAGGAGATCAAAGCTGAAGTTAAGGTATGGCAATTTTTACAGTTATATTATTGCAGCTTACACGTGTACCATACCTCTGGGATCCCTGTGGAAGCTGTAGATCACTGTAGCAGGCACTTCTTTTACTGTGATTGCCCTGCTGTTTACTGGACTAAGGAGGTTGCCATACTTCACAGGCACCATTCAGAGAATGCTTAGCATTTTCTCAATGATGGTTGAGAAAATGTGACGCTTTCTCCGATTGGATGAGGTAGGAATCGCAATGCCACAACATCAACTTGCCCAATCAGAGAACACTTTGCATTCCAGAAACCCCCCCCCCCCAAAGAAAACGATATAGCACCTCAAAGGCTAATCCTTTTCTTTGGGATTTTTCTGTAGTGCATTTGTTTTGGATGCGCCTCCCCTAATATTTAGGGTTAGGCATCGGCATACATACCATTCCTCGGACAAGGCCTTTCGCAGTGGGGGTATTGTAACACTATGCATTCATTGAGAAAATGTTTTGTGAACACAAGAGGTCAGAGAACACTTTACAGAAAGGGCAGCTGTTAAGCATAGGACCTGGAAGCAAGCGAAGATTAGTAGTGCATACTGGTCAAAGCTGGACCAATGCAACTATGTAAAAAATTGCCATACCAAAATTTCAGATTTAACTAGTTTAAAGCTATGAAATGGTTTTGTTTTCTATATTATACTATAATACAGAAAAACAAACACTTTACTAAGCAGTCTAATGAGTTGAGTCATTAGAATCAGTTCACTTTTGGTTCAAGCAGGGACAGATTTCCATCGCTGAATCTGGCAGGCAACCATATTCCAAAACACCCCCCCCCCCCTCCACAGAACTCTTCCTGCTTTACTGGTGCTATCATGTTGCTGATAACTAAGCAGGCAAGAGACACGTTTTTGCCTCTGCCCCCAGCAGGTATAGGCCTTCTGTGCCCATGGCCTTGTAAATATGGGTTTAGCTTGTAAAAGTGCAATGTATATGGCTTTTACAAAACCAAGCCAGCTTAGGGAACACTTCTTAAAGTCCAACTCAGGGATAGAGGGAAACAAATCCCTTCAGTGGGGCCCTCCTCCACCACAAAGGGTAAATGCTTGTTAAATTTAGTGGGCTGAAGAGGTTGTAATTTTTCCTTTAACACAGTTCTGACATGTTCTGGTGCTGTGAACATCTCTCCTCGGCTCCAGACGGTCACCAGCATCATCATGTACAATGCAGAGATATTAAATAGAGCCTATTTCATAACCCTTAACAACCTCTCCACCTGTCCTCGTCGGCTCTTCTCCACTTTCAAATCCCTGCTCTCTCCCCCCCCCCCCCCCCCCCCACCCAGCACCTCACTCACCGCCCACAAGATTGCCACTCACTTCCAAAACAACAAGATTGACGCAATCTGTAAGGACATTGTCAACTCACAATCCACCTCTCCACCCAGCCTCCTGCCCTTCTTCAACCCCTCAACCCTCCCCTCATAGTCGCACTACCCCCCACTATACCTAATGCCCCGCACATCATCACCTCCCCAACACTCCGCTCCTTCAGCCCAACTACCCCCGAGGAGGTCTCTAAGGAATTCACTGAAGCCCGCCTCACCACCTGCCCCCTGGACCCTATCCCCTCACAGCTCCTCCAGTCACCCCCCCCCCCTCCATCATTCACTCCCACACCTTCAATCTCTCCCTCTCCACCGGCACCTTTCCCTCCCCTCTAAAGCACGCACACATCACCCCCATACTCAAAAAACACTCCCTTGACCCTACTAACCTTATCAACCATAGACCCATCTCCTTGTTGCCCTTCACTTCCAAGCTCCTTGAGCGCCTGGTCTACAATCGCTTAAGCGCCCACCTCACTGATAACAACCTCCTTGATCCACTACAGTCTGGCTTCCGTCCCCTGCACTCTACCGAAACCGCCCTACTTAAAATCACCAATGACCTGCTAACCGCCAAAGCCAATGGCCACTATTCTATCCTCCTGCTCCTTGACCTCTCGGCGGCCTTCGACACTGTTGACCATCCACTCCTCCTTGCCAAAGTACACTCCCTTGGCATCAAGGACGCTGCTCTCTCCTGGTTCTCCTCCTACCTCTCCCAACGCTCCTTCAGCGTCACCTACAACACTGCCACCACAGGTGGGGGGTGGAGAGGTAAATTTGGGTGTTGTCAGCATAGAGGTGGTAAAACCCTCCTCTTCAGGGAAGCCTACCCCAACCTCACCTAACACCCAACCTCACCTAACAACTAACCTCCTCCACTCCTTCCACCACTCCATCCCCCACAGCCATCTCCTCCTGTACCACCTTCCCCTCCCTCCTAGATTGTAAGCTCGAAACAGCAGGGCCCTCAAACCCCTCGTGTAGTGTATTGTTACTGTCTTGTCTCATGTTCTGTCCCCCTTGCTACTGAACAGCGCTGAGCATACCCTTTGGCGCTATATAAATACTGTATAATAATAACCCTGCATTTTACATGGGAGGAGACAAGCATGTGACCACAACCTGGAGCACCTTAGAGAGAGGGCTTCAGGGGACCAGTCAAACAGAAAGCCTGCAGGGGCAAGGTGTAAAATATTACTCCTTATCTCTGTACCCCTAGACCTATTGAGCTCCCACTGCAAGGGTCATTTTTTTCTTGTGCCCAAAGATCAAAGCACCTTTCAGCTCCAGTATGGGGAGACTAAAAACGAAGATGTCACTAAAATAACTTTACATTCACTTATACCCTTTAAGTGGTTAAAGGGTATTTTTTCAGCCAAAAAAACATTGATTACAGCCTATGTGTGCATGGACCCATAGAATAACATGCAGGGGAGTTTACTGGCTGTAGGAAAAAAAAACCTGCCAAAAACAGCAACTGTAAAAACTAGGGATGCACTGAAATTTTGGCTGAAAACACCCCTTTCAGCCGATATGAAAAAGAGCACCGATACAGGTGCCGAAAACCCCCCTGCCCCTCGCCAGTTCTTCAGCCTTACCTGAGAAACCATTGAACGATCCCCATGCCAGGCATTGGAGGACCGGAGTGATGTCACTTCCAGTTCTGGCCATTGGGGGTTTTTTTTAGCACTAGATCAATACTTTTTTTGATCCAATGCTTTACATTACAGAGGAGAGATGTGTGGTCTTATTGACCCCATATCTTTCCATAAAGAGGACCTGTCACTAATTATTTCTATCACAAGAGATGCATGCATTTCTTGTGATTAGAATAAAAGTGATTTTTTTTGAAGGGACAGTACAAAAAAAAAAAAAAAAAATTAAACAATTTTTTTTTTAAAGTTTAAAGTGCCCCCCGTCCCCCCACATAGTGGTGAACGCATACGTAGGCCATGCCCACATATGTAAATAGTGTTCAAACCACACACGTGAGGTATCGCCACAAACGTCAGCAAGAGCTATAATTCTCCCACTAGACCTCCTCTAACTTTACACTGCTAACCTGTAGGCATTTTTAAAGCATCACCCATGGAGATTTTTAAGTACTGCAGTTTCACACCATTTCACGAGCATGCGCAATTTTAAAGCATGACATGTTGGCTATTTACTCGCCATAACATCCTCTTTCATATTTCACAAAAAATTGGGGTACATATTTTTTTTCGTGTATTTTGTTTCCCAAAAAGTATATATTCATTTTTAAAAACTGCACATTTCGGTTTTTGGCCATGTGCATTTTGAGTTTTCGTCACCAGAATTTTCATTATGGTGCACTGCTAGTAAAACCGTCCAGTGTGCATGAGGACTAAGAGCGAGAACTCAGCGATCACATGACCCCTGATCGCCGGTCACCACTGTCTGCTCCGCACCCCTTCCCAGAGAGACCAGGATACTTTTACGTACATGGTACAGCAGGCGCATATCAAGAATATGAAATGTTGGGTTTATATATTGATTAGGAGGGAGTGGTTGGGTGAAATATAAAAACAAGACCTCCCCTCACCCCACCACAAGTCTGAACAACCAAAAAATATATAAAGAAGAGCACTAGAAATGGCAGGTCCCCGTCCTGTACTATAACCAATCACAATCCTCGTTTCATTTTCATACCATACACAGCAGGGATGACAGTGAAACGCTGATTGGCTGCACATCCGCTTAGTATCTCTCCTAACATTAGGCATGAGCACACAAAGCAGCCCTTACCCTCTTCTGCTGGGAGTCCACCCAGTACAGCGTCGGCTCCCTCAGTCTCAGCATTCCACACTTCGTGACCTGAAGGTTGTCTCCATGCCGAGTGAGCCCCGGACCGCACACCACCCTCACCCGACCGGTGGAAGGAGACGAAGATATCAGCGATAGCGAGCCGTCCCCTGTCTGTGCCGGCAGAGCGAGTACATCTCCAGGTAACAACACCTGACCCACCGCATCCCCCCCGACTGCTCGAGAAGACATGCTGGGGAAGAGGAGACGATCCCGGAAGTGGAAAGAACAGGTGGGAGGGGACAGGAAGCACGTGGGTCTACTGTGTACAACGGGACAGGAAGCACGTGGGTCTACTGTGTACAACGGGACAGGAAGCACGTGGGTCTACTGTGTACAACGGGACAGGAAGCACGTGGTGTACCGTGCACCAGGGCTGCAGGGGACGTATAAGGCATGGGGATATTATCATGTGTATAGAGCTCGGTTTTAGGAGTCCTTTTGTGTAGTCTAAAGGACTACAGAGTTTGATATGTGTTAGTAAAACCTTACATAGTATCACAACTGCTTTATACATCCAGGAGGATTATACCTTGGTTTTTTTCAGGACAAATTGGGCATTCATTTGGTGGTAAATGGTAATGGAAATCTGTTTTTTTTTATTAGAAAAACTGGCCCAAAATAATAAAAAAAAATTATTTTTTTAAATATAGCTGTGTTTCTTGTTACTATCATAACCTACCTCCATAGAACAACCCAAAATAAATTTTCCAGCTTTTGACGATCGCAGTGATACCACATATATGTGTGTTATTTGTTGTTTGTACCGTAGTACAGCTCAAAAACAATAGTGCACATTTTGTTGTTTTTTTATTTAACCTAAAACACACACTGATACCAATTTTTTTTTTTAATCCTGACCTTGACCCAAATACTTACCCTGGCACTGAACTAGATCAAACCTTGATCTAGGTATTTTCTCTATTTTTTCATTTTATTTTCTAATATTTATTTATCTTTTTTTTTTTACAAACCTTTTTTTCCCCTCTATGCCAGGAGTTAGAGAGATACAATGTATCTCTCTCCTCCATTCATAGAGAGAAAAAAAAACCACAAGGGGGCCAGGCTGTACAGTGACTGATCACTGTGATAGCCAATCAGAGGCTATCGCAGCAATCATGTGACCCGGAATCTGGCATCCTGGGTCCTGATCGTTATAACGGGACCTGGGGCTCTCAATGACACCCCGGGCCTTTGTGCTGGGAACGCGCTGTGCGGCACGCTCCCAGCACAAAGAAAGGTAAGCAAATATGTGGCCCCACAGTTCTGTGAGGCTGCATATTTGGAGGAAGAGGAAGTGAGAAAATCGCTGCACAATAGGGGAACCCCAGGTCACCAGAACCAGTGGGGACACTGGCTCTGGTGACCTGGGGTTCCCCTAATGTGCAGCGACTTACTCACTTCCTCTTTAGACTATGGGCTAGGAAGTGAAGGTAAATCTCCCCAATGGAACATAGATGGCAAAAAACTGATGGGTTATAACCTTCCTTTATCCAAAAAAAGGTTTTGCCACTAGTTCTACTTTAACCACCTGACCTCCGCCCTATAGCAGAAGTACTGCTTCAGGGTGGCAGGGCTGCTCAAAATCACATATATACGTGGTTTGCTGTTCTGGGTAGGGGGCGCGCGTGCCGCCCTGCCCACGTTGCTATTGGCGGCTAGATATGTCAATCACCGAGGCACTCTGCTATCGGGTAAAGCTGATGGGAGAGACCTGTGTGTAAACAACACAGGTCTCTCTCCTGTCAGCATGCACATGCTGCTTTGTATCTCTGCACAGCAAAGAAATACAAAGCAGCATGTCTCCCAAGTAAAACACACACAGCACATAATGTAAAACACACACAGCACACTGTTAACCCCAGATGTTAACCCCTTCTTGCCCAGTGTCATTAGTACAGTGTCAGTGCTTTTTATTAGCACTGATCACTATTAGTGTCACTGGCGATGTCAGTGGCAGTTAGTTCCCACCCAGTGTCAGAATGCCCGCCGCAGTCCCGCTATAAGTTGCTGATCACAGCCATTACTAGTATAATAAAAATAAAAGTTCCATTACATATAACGCCATTTGTAGATGCTATAACTTTCATGTAAACCAATTATTTTAAATGTATTGGGATTTTTTTTCAGCAAAGATGTAGCAGAATACATTTTGGCCTAAATTTTATTTTTTTAAATTTTTTATTGGATAGGTTTTATAACAAAAAGTCAAAAATATTGTTTTTTTTTTCAAAATTGTTGGTCTTTTTTTTTTTATAGCAAACAATAAAAACTGCAGAGGTGATTAAATACCACAAAAAGAAAAAAATTACAAAAATTTCATTTATGTACAGTGTTGCATGACTGCGCAGTTGTAAAGTAATGCAGCACCGTTCCTCTGGAGAGCAAGTGGGTATTAAAAGTAAAAATATGCATGGTTGGGGGGTGCACACCCTTCCCCCTTCCTCTAGCCACACTTTCACTTCTGCAATTTCTTCCTTCAGCAGTGTAGTGTCCCTGGAAATTTTGTCCTTTTCAGCAGCACATGGTACTTGCAAATCAGAGTATTTTTAATCCTTGACATGCAGCCTAACTCATCCAGAATTTTTCCCTTCAGCATTAAAGTAATTCTAAAGGCTGAAGGTTTTTTACCTTCATGCATTCTATGCATGAAGGTAAAAGGCCTTCTGTATGCAGCTTCCCCCCTCAGCCTCTCCTAATACCTAAGCCCGATCTCAATTCAATGATGTGCACAGGAGCAGCGGGCTCTCCCAGTTCTCTAACTCCTCATTGGCTGAGACACTGTCACTCACAGCCTGTGATTGACACTGTCAAATCACCGAATGATTTTCAGAAATAGATCAGTAATGGAAGCCTGCAAGATGATCTGTTCAGCCATTTCTGTCATTGAAAACTACAGTATGGGGCAGAGTCGCCATTGGGATCCTGACGCTATACATCTTAGCTACAGGGTTTTACCACCCCTCAAACCGCAAATGTAAATAACGCCTTACTGTCCTAAGCCCCCTATAAGGCTGCTTTCTCACTGATGCACTGAGGTATACCTACACCATAGGTGCAGCACAGTGCACCTTCGGGTTTTCCTTTTGTCTTTGCCGTATACTTCTACTATATCTTGCGATTGTGGTGCACTTTCTGAAAGTTGTGGCTTACACGTTACATACGCTGTAGGCAATGGGTTTTTCACTAATAATACCTTTGTCGTAGACTTCTACTAAATCTTGTAGGTGTGGTGCACTATCTGGAAGCGCACCCAAACTCCTGCATTCAGTTTGAGATGGAGGGCCACATCAAAGGGCTCCAAGGGCTGCATGTGGCCCACGGGCCATGGGTTGAGCACCCCTGGTGTAGGACAAGTTCTTCCACCTTTTGTATAGCCCAATGGAAGCTATGCAGCCTACTATAGCCCATAGTGCCCAAATGTAATTCCTGGCAGTTTCAACCAACTTTTGATCACAAATGACTGATTAGATCAAGCCAACCTACCATCATTCCAGATGTTTAAATAAAAATTAAATAATATGTTGTTGGTAATTGACTGCCTAGATCAATCTGATCAATCTAAAGCTTGTTAAAATTGCTAGAAATGTGCTATGATTATGACTACAATGATAAACTTAAATATTTTGTAAAATTAGATTGCAATGTCTGTGACAAGCTTCATGTTTATAAAGGATCAAGCATATCTAAAGCCAAAAAAAAAAAGTTTTGAATACATTAGAAAAGGGATAAAACTCATGGAAGTTTTTTTTTCATGCTATATCTCTCATGTGGACAGATTTTCTGTCCTGGAGACACAACAGGAAGGGGAAATTTGTTTGATGTTAGGTAAATCCTCTCTTAGACAGTTGTCACCGGAGCAGGCTTCCTTATGGAAAGATTTTGTCTTTTTTCCCATTCTGTCACTTTGAAACCTAGGGACAGTGTTCATTAGCACAGAGAGAGAGGATGAATCTCTCCAGCAGAGACAGACAGCAATTCAAAACCTTACAAATTTGATAACCCTTTCCTATGCTATTAAAAATAAAAAAAGAAGTGAAAGTTGTGGTTTACACATTACATACTCTGTAAGGAAGGGGTTTCTCACTAATAATGAGGCACTAACTAGTTTTGAACAGTCATGTTTAAACAAGGATTGACCATCCACACTATTTCTTCATTGGTCCCTTAACACAGGCCTGAAAATTTCCACTCGCTCGCTCTCATTTGGCGAGTGAAAATAGCATGGGGGCGAGCAGGCTGGGGGGCGGTAAAATTCACCTGTGTAGATAGATTCCAATGTTTGATGTCCCAGACTCTGTGCACCAATCGCTCCCCTCATTCCTGGTTCTGCTCACATTTCTCTGGGGCACCTTCCTCTCCTTGCAGTGTTTTGTCTCTCTCCTCCCCCAGAGTGGTCTCTCCCCATTTGAGCTCTGGCTGAGTGCAGGGGCTCCCTGCTGGAACAGAGTGCTCCGCTGGGACTCTAGCAGCAGCAGTGAGAGCAGGAGGCGAGAGAACGGGACAAAGAGCAGCCATCTGGTGAGCCAGATGTGCAGCATGATATAGGAAACCAGGGTGGCTGCCCTACATGTAAGTCATGGAGATATCCCTTCCCTCCTCCTCCTGGACCACCAGGGATCTGTAGGTGCAGCCACTACCACCATCATCAGCTCAGGTAGTAGGAAAACAGGCAGCATTGTCACACTCAGCCTGTGCCCAGTCACCTGTTGAAAACCTGGAATCTGCTATCAAGCTTATTGTGGCACCAGATTATTTTAGGGGTGCAATGGGTATGTAGGAGGTACAATTGGGTACTGGTGTGCAGGGGGATACAGTGGGGAGCAGGTGTGCATGGAGGGCCACAGTGGGGAACAGGTATATAGGATGTACAGTAGGGAACAGGTGGGGCGGGGGGGGGGTACAGTGGGGAACAGGTGTGCAGGTAGGGTATGGTGGGGAACAGGGGTGCCATGTGGCACTGTGGAAAACAGGTATATCCGAGGTACAGTGGGGAACAAGTGTATAGGGGATTACAGCAGGGAACAGGTGTGCAGGGGGGTACAGCGGAGAACAGATGTGCAGTGGGGAACAGGTGTGGTGCTGGGGGGGTACATCAGGGAACAGGTGTGCAGGGGGATGCAGTGGGGAACCGGTATGTAGGAGGTACTGTGGGGATCAGATGTGGTGGTGGGGAGTACAGCAGGGAACAG